TTTTAATGCCAATATTCATAGATGAACACCAGACACTTCAGCCTAATGTGCATGTGTTGTTATGTGGATGTAAAATAATAATGTATTGTCAAAGGCTTTCATGGCCGGAATCACTGGCCTGAAAACCTCTAAGACCAGCCACAGACACTGAGAAACTCCCTGCAACCTCTGAACCTCTAAGACCAGCCACAGACATTGAGAAACTCCCTGCAACCTTTGAACCTCTAAGACCAGCCACAGACATTGAGAAACTCCTTGCAAACTCTGAACCTTTAAGACCAGCCAGTCATTGAGAAACTCCTTGCAACCCAGCTACAGACATTGAGAAACTCCTTGCAACCTCTGAACCTCTAAGACCAGCCAAAGAAATTGAGAAACTCCTTGCAAACTCTACATCTCTAAGACCAGCCACAGACATTGAGAAACTCCTTGCAACCTCTGAACCTCTAAGACAAGCCACAGACATTGAAAATGTCTTTGCAACCTCTGAACCTCTAAGACAAGTCAAACACATTGAGAAACTCCCTGCAACCTCTGAACCTCTAAGACCAGCAACAGACATTGAAAAACTCCTTGCAACCTCTAAACCTCTAAGACCAGCCAGAGACACTGAAAAACTCCTTGCAACCTCTAAACCTCTAAGACCAGCCACAGACACTGAGAAACTCCTTGCAACCTCTGAACCTCTAAGACCAGCAACAGACATTGAAAAACTCCTTGCAACCTCTAAACCTCTAAGACCAGCCACAGACACTGAAAAACTCCTTGCAACCTCTAAACCTCTAAGACCAGCCACAAACATTGCGAAACTCCTTGTAACCTCTAAACCTCTAAGACAAGTCAAACACATTGAGAAACTCCCTGCAACCTCTGAACCTCTAAGACCAGCCACAGACATTGAGAAACTTCTTGCAACGTCTGAACCTCTAAGACCAGCCACAGACACTGAGAAACTCCCTGCAACCTTTGAACCTCTAAGACCAGCCACAGACATTGAGAAACTCCTTGCAACCTCTAAACTTCTAAGACAAGTCAAACACATTGAGAAACTCCCTGCAACCTCTGAACCTCTAAGACAAGCCACAGACATTGAAAATGTCTTTGCAACCTCTGAACCTCTAAGACCAGCCACAGACACTGAGAAACTCCTTGCAACCTCTGAACCTCTAAGACCAGCCACAGACATTGAGAAACTCCTTGCAACCTCTGAACCTCTAAGACCAGCCACAGACACTGAGAAACTCCTTGCAACTTCTAACCTCTAAGACCAGCCACAGACATTGAGAAACTCCTTGCAACCTCTGAACCTCTAAGACCAGCCACAGACATTGAGAAACTCCTTGCAAACTCTGAACCTTTAAGACCAGCCAGTCATTGAGAAACTCCTTGCAACCCAGCTACAGACATTGAGAAACTCCTTGCAACCTCTGAACCTCTAAGACCAGCCAAAGAAATTGAGAAACTCCTTGCAAACTCTACATCTCTAAGACCAGCCACAGACATTGAGAAACTCCTTGCAACCTCTGAACCTCTAAGACAAGCCACAGACATTGAAAATGTCTTTGCAACCTCTGAACCTCTAAGACAAGTCAAACACATTGAGAAACTCCCTGCAACCTCTGAACCTCTAAGACCAGCAACAGACATTGAAAAACTCCTTGCAACCTCTAAACCTCTAAGACCAGCCACAGACACTGAGAAACTCCTTGCAACCTCTGAACCTCTAAGACCAGCAACAGACATTGAAAAACTCCTTGCAACCTCTAAACCTCTAAGACCAGCCACAGACACTGAAAAACTCCTTGCAACCTCTAAACCTCTAAGACCAGCCACAAACATTGCGAAACTCCTTGTAACCTCTAAACCTCTAAGACAAGTCAAACACATTGAGAAACTCCCTGCAACCTCTGAACCTCTAAGACCAGCCACAGACATTGAGAAACTTCTTGCAACGTCTGAACCTCTAAGACCAGCCACAGACACTGAGAAACTCCCTGCAACCTTTGAACCTCTAAGACCAGCCACAGACATTGAGAAACTCCTTGCAACCTCTAAACCTCTAAGACAAGTCAAACACATTGAGAAACTCCCTGCAACCTCTGAACCTCTAAGACCAGCAACAGACAGAAACTCCTTGCAACCTCTGAACCTCTAAGACCAGCCACAGACACTGAGAAACTCCTTGCAACCTCTGAACCTCTAAGACCAGCCACAGACATTGAGAAACTCCTTGCAACCTCTGAACCTCTAAGACCAGCCACAGACACTGAGAAACTCCTTGCAACTTCTAACCTCGAAGACCAGCCACAGACATTGAGAAACTCCTTTCAACCTCTGAACCTCTAAGACCAGCCACAGACATTGAGAAACTCCTTGCAACCTCTAAACCTCTAAGACAAGTCAAACACATTGAGAAACTCCCTGCAACCTCTGAACCTCTAAGACCAGCAACAGACATTGAAAAACTCCTTGCAACCTCTGAACCTCTAAGACCAGCCACAGACACTGAGAAACTCCTTGCAACCTCTGAACCTCTAAGACCAGCCACAGACATTGAGAAACTCCTTGCAACCTCTGAACCTCTAAGACCAGCCACAGACATTGAGAAACTCCTTGCAACCTCTGAACCTCTAAGACCAGCCACAGACATTGAGAAACTCCTTGCAACCTCTGAACCTCTAAGACCAGCCACAGACATTGAGAAACTCCTTGCAACCTCTGAACCTCTAAGACCAGCCACAGACATTGAGAAACTCCTTGCAAACTCTGAACCTTTAAGACCAGCCACAGACATTGAGAAACTTCTTGCAACCTCTAAGACCAGCCAAAGACATTGCGAAACTCCTTGTAACCTCTGGACCTCTAAGACCAGCCACAGACATTAAGAAACTCCTTGCAACCTCTAAGACCAGCCAAAGACATTGCGAAACTCCTTGTAACCTCTGGACCTCTAAGACCAGCCACAGACATTAAGAAACTCCTTGCAACCTCTAAACCTCTAAGACCAGCCACAGACATTGAGAAACTCCTTGCAACCTCTGAACCTCTAAGACCAGCCACAGACACTGAGAAACTCCCTGCAACCTTTGAACCTCTAAGACCTGCCACAAACATTGAGAAACTCCTTGTGACCTCTGAACCTTTAAGACCAGCCAGTCATTGAGAAACTCCTTGCAACCCAGCTACAGACATTGAGAAACACCTTGCAACCTCTGAACCTCTAAGACCAGCCAAAGAAATTGAGAAACTCCTTGCAACCTCTGAACCTCTAAGACAAGCCACAGACATTGAAAACGTCTTTGCAACCTCTGAACCTCTAAGACCAGCCTCAAAGGGTCATCGTCCTTGCAACCACTGAACTTCTAAGACCAGCCACAGACATTGAGAAACTCCTTGCCACCTCTGAACCTCTAAGACCAGCCACAGACATTGAGAAACTCCTTGCAAACTCTGAACCTCTAAGACCAGCCACAGACATTGAGAAACTCCTTGTGACCTCTGAACCTCTAAGACCAGCCACAGACATTGAGAAACTCCTTGTAACCTCTGGACCTCTAAGACCAGCCACAGACATTAAGAAACTCCTTGCAACCACTAAGACCAGCCAAAGACATTGCGAAACTCCTTGTAACCTCTGGACCTCTAAGACCAGCCACAGACATTAAGAAACTCCTTGCAACCTCTAAACCTCTAAGACCAGCCACAGACATTGAGAAACTCCTTGCAACCTCTGAACCTCTAAGACCAGCCACAGACATTGAGAAACTCCTTGCAACCTCTGAACCTCTAAGACCAGCCACAGACATTGAGAAACTCCTTGCAACCTCTGAACCTCTAAGACCAGCCACAGACACTGAGAAACTCCCTGCAACCTTTGAACCTCTAAGACCAGCCACAGACATTGAGAAACTCCTTGCAAACTCTGAACCTTTAAGACCAGCCAGTCATTGAGAAACTCCTTGCAACCCAGCTACAGACATTGAGAAACTCCTTGCAACCTCTGAACCTCTAAGACCAGCCAAAGAAATTGAGAAACTCCTTGCAAACTCTACATCTCTAAGACCAGCCACAGACATTGAGAAACTCCTTGCAACCTCTGAACCTCTAAGACAAGCCACAGACATTGAAAATGTCTTTGCAACCTCTGAACCTCTAAGACCAGCCAAAGACATTGAGAAACTCCTTGCAACCTCTGAACCTCTAAGACCAGCCACAGACATTGTGGGCCTATCAGGTATGCGTGCCAACTTTGGTCCAGATCCCTCACTGTTTGGGTTCATAGTGCGCTCTGGATGGAAGTGAACTACAACTCCAAAACTGAAACCCAATACAGATTTTCACTTTTATTATGTGTATAGATAGATAAAAAGACAGAATAATGTTGCTCCTATTGGCAATCCCATAGTAGTCCACTAGATGGCGGTGTTGCTTTTCCACAGGAAATTAAATAAACTGGATTTTTCATGCACTGACAATCATTAAAACTTCAAATATGGATTTTAACTGTAATTTTTAAAAATACCGTTTATATTTAATTTTATTTTAATGCCAATATTCATAGATGAACACCAGACACTTCAGCCTAATGTGCATGTGTTGTTATGTGGATGTAAAATAATAATGTATTGTCAAAGGCTTTCATGGCCGGAATCACTGGCCTGAAAACCTCTAAGACCAGCCACAGACACTGAGAAACTCCCTGCAACCTCTGAACCTCCAAGACCAGCCACATACACTGAGAAACTCCCTGCAACCTCTACACCTCTAAGGCCAGACACAGACATTGAGAAACTCCTTGCAACCTCTACACGTCTAAGACCAGCCAAAGACATTGAGAAACTCCTTGCAACCACTTAGACCAGCCACAGACATTGAGAAACTCCTTGCAGCCTCTGAACCTCTAAGACCAGCCACAGACATTGAGAAACTCCTTGCAACCACTTAGACCAGCCACAGACATTGAGAAACTCCTTGCAGCCTCTGAACCTCCAAGACCAGCCACATACACTGAGAAACTCCCTGCAACCTCTACACCTCGAAGGCCGGCCACAGACATTGAGAAACTCCTTGCAACCTCTACACGTCTAAGACCAGCCAAAGACATTGAGAAACTCCTTGCAACCACTTAGACCAGCCACAGACATTGAGAAACTCCTTGCAGCCTCTGAACCTCTAAGACCAGCCACAGACATTGAGAAACTCCTTGCAACCTCTGAACCGCTATGACCAGCCAAAGACATTGAGAAACTCCTTGCAACCTCTGAACCTCTAAGACCAGCCACAGACATTGAGAAACTCTCTTCGCTCAGATGGCACCAATGGCCCTCCCTCCAATGAAAGATTGCCCCAGGCACTGCCAGACCATCAAAGCTAATCAAGGTGGTCAGTTGAAACATTCACACTTAGCTCCAACAGACAAGAGTTCTTTGTCCCACCCTGGTCATTCCACAGATATATAAACATACAACAAAACCATAAATATCCATGTAAGCCTTACCTGGCCGGGCTTCTGGTAGATGACGCCGAACTTGAAGTTGTTACTGATGACGTGTTCGTCGAATGTCACAATGAGCCGGGAAGCCTGGGAAAGACGTGTTATCCTTATGGTTAGTCATAACAATATTCACGAACTGGTCACATCCCATCGTAAAATATACACACAACTCCCTTTGTAGCCCATTCTGTGCCTGATTTCCATGGGATGGTGACCCAGTCCACCCGTGATGAGGTTCAGGGGGGCCACACTCTTGACCCCAAACTCTTACCTTTGGGTACAGGACCGGGTAGAAGCGGTCAACGTTGACGTCTTCGCAGACCAGCTGAAAGTGACAAAAGGTAGGAAAGGTGCTAAGCAGGGCCTGCCTTGCTGAGGATGTGGGTGGGGAGCGGCCACCCACCACATCACAACCCTCTGGGATCTCCAACTCACCTTGGCCATCTGCACAACGTTGGGAAACTCCGTCAGGCAGGAGATGGGGATCACGTCGTGGAATGTCCGGCTCTTTGTCCTTTTTTTGGGGGGGGGGGGAGGCAGAAAGATGGCCTTGCTTGAGGACTACAACGCCCAGCATCCCCACCCTTTCCAAGATCCTTGTCTCCTCCCCTTCCTCCAGCCTCCCCCCTTCTTCTCCGCTTTGTAAGGACTCCTTGTTTGGCCTCCCATCATCCCCCTCCTTGTGACAGTCCTTGTCTGGACTCCAACGCCCATCGTTCCCCCTGCCTCCCTTGTGTTCCCCAGATCCGTGGAGAGACTCCGCACTTGGGGCTCACTAGAACTCCCACATTCCCCCTCCCCTCCTTTGTATTCCTCTAGCATTGCACTTTGCAGAAACGACTTGTCTGGACTCTAACTCCCATCACCCCCCCTCCCTTGTGTTCCTATAGCATTGCACTTTCTCCAGATCCGTGGAAAGACTCCATGTTTGGGGCTCATTGCACTTTCCCCTTCGCTCTGCATTCCAACTCCCATCACCCCCTTGTATTCCCCAGATCTGTGGAGAGACACCAAATTTGGGCCTCCAACTCCCATCATCCCCCCTCCCTCCCTTGTATTCCTCTAGCATTGCTCCTTCCCCAGAGCTTCATAGACACTACTTGTATGGACTCCAACTCCCATCACCCCTTTCCTTGTATTCCCGAGATCTGTGGAGAGACAGCAGTTGGGCCTCCAACTCCCATCATCCCCCCTCTCTCCCTTGTATTCCTCTAGCATTGCTCCTTCCCCAGAGCTTCATAGACACTACTTGTATGGACTCCAACTCCCATCACCCCTTTCCTTGTATTCCCGAGATCTGTGGAGAGACAGCAGAGTTGGGCCTCCAACTCCCATCATCCCCCCTCTCTCCCTTGTATTCCTCTAGCATTGCACTTTCCCCAGAGCTTTGTAGACACTCCTTGTCTGGACTCCAACACCCATCACCCCCTTCCTTGTATTCCCGAGATCCGTGGAGAGACACCAGAGTTGGGCCTCCAATTTCCATCATCCCCTCTCTCTCCCTTGTATTCCTCTAGCATTGCACTTTCCCCAGAGCTCTGTAGACACTTGTCTGGACTCCAACTCCCATCACCCCTTACTTGTATTCCCCAGAACTGTGGAGAGACACCAGAGTTGGGCCTCCAACTCCCATCATCTCCCCTCTCTCCCTTGTATTCCTCTAGCATTGCACTTTCCCCAGAGCTTCGAAGACACTACTTGTCTGGACTCCAACTCCCATCACCCGTTTCTTTGCATTCCTTTAGAACTGCACTTTCCCCAGAGCTTCATAGAAACTCCTCGTCCGGACTCCAACTCCCATCAAGCCCCTTGTAGCACTGTACTTTCCCCAGATCCATGTTTGGGCTCACTCCATCTCCCATCATCCCCTCTCCCTCCCTTTCCGCTCACCGCAAGAGGAGGCGGAGGTGCTCCTGGTCCCCGATGACGTCGTACTTGAGCGAGAAGACGAGGTGCCCCAAGGCCGCGTCCATGGAGTAGTAATTGAAGTGCTCCTGGGTGGTTGCGTTTGGGGTGGAAGGGGACACAAAAGCAGGAGGGTGAGCCCCCAAGGACCCTCTCGCCTGGCCCCAGTTGTCTGTAACCCTGCCGTTTGAACCCTCCTCAAACTCTCTCTCTCTCTAAATTCTGTGGCGGTGAGTTCCACAGGACAACAGCACGCGTTGTTGACGCCGCGAGCCCTGACCTTGCCCAGGAAGTGCTTGCGGTAGAGGCGGGCGGTATGGTTGCATTCCAGCTTGGCCTTGGAGGTTGCCGGCGGCGGTGCGGCTTCGGGACCTCCGCTCCACTCGTGGTTGGTGCCCTCGATCCAGTAGCCCCCAAACTGCGGGAGGAGGATCAGCGGGAAGGGGCCCTCCCGGCCCAGGACCTGCAAGCACACGCGGTTTACGCCTGATGCCTGCCGGTGCTTGGAGGTCCATGTGGAATGGCCCACGCGTGTTCTATTGGCAGAGCTTACCTCGTGGACGCTAGGGTAGGGGATGTAGTCCTCTTCCGTCTGCAACAGAAGACAGACGAGAATGTAAACAGAGCAAGGAATGTCAGACACCCACATTTCTGGGAGCAAATTCCACCACTATTTCACACCAATGGATATAGCAAGGAACCCTGGGATGACTATATAGACTCTCCTTCTCTAACTGCTCTGAGTCGCCTGAGGGCTGAGAAGGGCGGTATACAAATACAGTAAATAAATACATAAATGTGCGCCGTAGGAAAGTGTGAAAGAGAGGCAGTGGAAAGGGTCATGCAAATTCCACACCCATGGAGAGAGTAAGGAACCCTGGGATGACTATATGGACTCTCCTTCTCTACATGTGCGCCATAGGTAAGGGTGGAGAGGCAGTGGGCGGGGTCATGCAAATTGCACAGCAATAGAGAGAGTAAGGAACTCTGGGGTGACTATATGGACTCTCCTCTACATGTGCGTCATAGGAAATGGTGAAGAGAGAGGCAGTGGGCGGGGTCATGCAAATTTCACAGCAATGGAAAGAGTAAGGAACCCTGGGATGACTATATGGACTCTCCTTCTCTACATGTGCACCATAGGAAAGGGTGAGAAAGGGTGAAGTGGGAGACAGTGGGCGGGGTCATGCAAATTCCACAGCAATGGAAAGAGTAAGGAACGCTGGGATGACTATATGAACTTTCCTTCTCTACATGTGTGCCATAGGAAAGGGTAGGAATGTGTGAAGGGAGGAGGCAGTGGGAAGGGCCATGCAAATTCCACACCCATGGAGAGAGTAAGGAACCCTGGGATGACTATATGGACTCTCCTTCTCTACATGTGCGCCATAGGAAAGGGTGGAGAGGCAGTTGGCAGGCTCATGCAAATTCCACACCCATGGAGAGAGTAAGGAACCCTGGGATGACTATATGGACTCTCCTCCTCTATATGTGCACCATAGGAAAGGGTGAAGGGAGGGGCCGTGGGCAGTGTCATGCAAATTCCACACCAATGGAGAGAGTAAGGAACCCTGGGATGACTATATGGACTCTCCTTCTCTACATGTGCGCCATAGGAAAGGGTAGGAAAGGGTGAAGCGAGTCATGCAAATTCCACACCCATGGAGAGAGTAAGGAACCCTGGTATGACTATATGAACTCTCCTTCTCTACATGTGTGCCATAGGAAAGGGTAGGAAAGGGTGAAGGGAGAGGCAGTGGGCAGGGTCATGCAAATTTCACAGCAATGGAGAGAGTAAGGAACCCTGGGATGACTATATGGACTCTCCTTCTCTACATGTGCGCCATAGGAAAGGGTAGGAAAGGGTGAAGGGAGTCATGCAAATTCCACACCCATGGAGAGAGTAAGGAACCCTGGGATGACTATATGAACTCTCCTTCTCTACATGTGTGCCATAGGAAAGGGTAGGAAAGGGTGAAGGGAGAGGCAGTGGGCAGGGTCATGCAAATTTCACAGCAATGGAAAGAGTAAGGAACCCTGGGATGACTATATAGATTCTCCTTTTCTACATGTGCGCCATAAGAAAGGGTAGGAAAGGGTGGAAGGAGAGGTAGTGGGCAGGGTCATACAAATTCCACACCAATGGAAAGAGTAAGGAACCCTGGGATGACTATATGGACTCTCCTTTTCTACATGTGTGCCATAGGAAAGGGTAGGAAAGGGTGAAGGGAGAGGCAGTGGGCAGGGTCATGCAAATTTTACAGCAATGGAGAGAGTAAGGAACCCTGGGATGACTATATGGACTCTCCTTCTCTACATGTGCGCCATAGGAAAGGGTAGGAAAGGGTGAAGCGAGTCATGCAAATTCCACACCCATGGAGAGAGTAAGGAACCCTGGGATGACTATATGAACTCTCCTTCTCTACATGTGTGCCATAGGAAAGGGTAGGAAAGGGTGAAGGGAGAGGCAGTTGGCGGGGTCATGCAAATTGCACAGCAATAAAGGAACCCTGGGGTGATGATATGGACTCTCCTCTACATGTGCGTCATAGGAAATGGTGAAGAGAGAGGCATTGGGTGGGGTCATGCAAATTTCACAGCAATGGAAAGAGTAAGGAACCCTGGGATGACTATATGGACTCTCCTTCTCTACATGTGCACCATAGGAAAGGGTGAGAAAGGGTGAAGTGGGAGACAGTGGGCGGGGTCATGCAAATTCCACACCCATGGAGAGAGTAAGGAACCCTGGGATGACTATATGAAATCTCCTTCTCTACATGGGGCTTGCAGGGACACCTCCCAGAAACGCCTGCAGTTTGGTGAGACAGAATGGGGTGGACTAGGTGACCTTTGGGGCTCCCTTCCCATTCTAGTGGGCTATATGGACTGTAAAGCCATTCCAGAATGCAGATTAACTGCATTTAACAGGTTAAATTCCACAGTTCCTAGAAATGGGATGCAGAGGAGAGTGAAGGGTGAGTCCTGGCCTCCTAGGACTGGGTAATTATTGGTGGCATAGTGTTTACTATGCCACCAATGGTCGGAAAGGAAGCAGAGCTGTGGGGCTGGGGAGGCGGGGCTGCACTACGTCTCTCCTGGAGCGCACTCACTCGAGCGCTCACTCACTCACCTTGAGGGTGGGAGGGAAGGAGCACCGCTGTTCGTCCATCCGGCTTCCCTGGAGAGAGAAAGAGCGGAGGGGCCAGAGTCAATAAACATGCAGCCAGAGCAAGGGACCAAATTCGTGGAGAGCAAAGGGCACTGAGCGGGCCAGGCGTGGCTCCCAGGTAAGGCGACAGGTGCGCGTTGGGAAGTTATTTACCTTGGGAGGGCACGAGGAAAGGGAACTGACATTTCCAACCTGGACCCTTCCCACCCAACCGGGGAGGATTGCAACCTTGTGGACGGAGCTTGTCCTGAATTGCCTGGGTCTCGGGATAGCGATGGCAGGCGTGAGCGCACACTCCTCTAGAGCAAATCCCGGGAGCCGCCGTGTTTGGCTTCCCAGCCGAGTGAGTCAAAGGGTGTTTCTCGCAGGACGAGTTTCCCAGGAAGTCTCCCAGACAGGCCTCCCTCCCTCCCTTCTCTGGGGTCCCCTTCGCCCCAGGATGCCCTCACTGTCCCGGGTTCGAGTCAGGACGGGCACTCAAGGAGGGCTGCCTGGGACTCACCTGCATCTTCTCAATCATTTCAAACAAATCAGCGTTCTGCAAAAGATCGAAGGGGGAAAACAGGGTCACTGGTTGGACACATTAGGGGCCCTGGTTGCCTATGGAACAAGTCATTATTTACTCCTATTAGGATGTATTATTCGGACTGGTGTTTCAGTCTGCGTCCTCTGCACTTTAACATATGCATTGCAATCGTATTGTATTGTTGCTCTGTGTGTTGACTACTATCACACCAGCAGACGCAGCTCACAAGTAATGACAGTGTTCCCTCACTTATCGCGGGTGTTACGTTCCACAACCACCCGCGAAAAGTGAAAATCCGCGAAGTAGGGACAATATATATGTTTACAATCTCACGTCGGCAAGTCGTGTCTCAAGCGGCCGCACGGGGTGTTCCTATTGGCTGAGGTGCAAAAGGGGGCGGTGCTCAGCCTTCCCGGCTTCTTGATTGTCATTGGCTGCGCAGATGACACCGGAAAAGACAGGCGTGTGTCCTACATTCCTGTAGGCTATTCTCCATTTTGGGGCAAACCCCCGCGAAACAGCGAAAATACCACAATAAATGTTATTTTATTATTATTATTTTATATTATTTATATTTATAATATATTATAAATACATTATAATAATTATAACTATTACTATTGTTATTATTTGACAAGGACTATTATTGTTATTATTATTTTAGAATTATATTGTTTATATTTATAATATATTATAAATACATTATAATAATCAGAACTATTATTATTGTTATTATTTGACTAGGACTATTGTTATTATTATTTTAGAATTATATTATTTATATTTATATTATAAATACATTATAATAATTATAATAATTATTAATGTTCTTATTTGACTAGGACTGTTTTATTATTGTTTTTAATATTTTATAATTATATTATGTAAAACATATTTATTTATAATAAATATAAATTATTATTATTTTAGAATTATATTATTTATAATATATTTATTTATAATAAATATAAATTATTGTTATTGTATACTTATATTATTTATAATATACTTATAATACAGTATTAATACATTCTTATTATTATTATTATTTGACTAGGACTATTATTATTTTAGAATTATATTATTTATAATATATTTATAATATAATAGTAATTATAACTATTATTGTTATTATTTGACTAGGACTATTATTCTTCTTATTATTTTATAATTATATTATTTACAATATATTTATAATTGACTAGGACTATTATTATTTTATAATTATATTATTTGTAATATATTTATTTATAATAAATATTATAAATTATTATTGTATACTTATATTGTTTATAATATATTTATAATACAATATGATTACATAATAATAATTATTATTTGACTAGGACTATAATTATTATTATTTGACTAGGACTATTTTTATTTTATAATTACATTATTTATAATATATTTATAATATATTATAAATACATTATAATAATAATTCTAACTTATTGTTATTATTATTTGACTAGGACTATTATTCTTATTCTTATTTTATATTATTTATAATATATTTATAATTGACTAGGACTATTATTATTGTATATTATTTATATTTATAATATATTATAAATATATAATAATAATAATTATAACTAATTGCTGTTATTATTATTTGACTAGGACTATTATTATTATTATATAATTGTATTATTCATAATATATTTATATTGTAAATACATTATAGTAATAATTATAATATTAATATTATTTGACTAGGACTATTATTATTATTATTGTATAATTATATTATTCATAATATATATTGTAAATACATTATAGTAATAATTATATTACTAATGTTATTTGACTAGGACTATTATTATTAATATTATTATTGTATAATTAGATAATTTATAATATATTTACTTATAATAAATATTACAAATTATTGTTATTATTGTATAATTAATAATAGTTATTATATTAACTATTATTATAATAGTTAATATAATAATATAATATAATAATTAATAATAGTTATTATAACTATTATAGTTGTTATTATTTGACTAGGACTATTATTATTATTGTACAATTATATTATTCATAATATATATTGTAAATACATTATAGTAATAATTATATTATTAATGTTATTTGACTAGGACTATTATTATTAATATTATTATTGTACAATTAGATCATTTATAATATATTTAATTATAATAAATATTACAAATTATTGTTATTATTGTATAATTAGATTATTGTAAATATATTATAGTAATAATTATGTTATTAATTTTATTATTTGACTAGGACTATTGTTATTATTGTATAATGAGATTATTTATAATATATTTAATTATAATAAATACTATAAATTATTGTTATTATTGTATAATTAGATTATTTATATTTAATTATAATAAATACTATAAATTATTGTTATTATTGTATAATTAGATTATTTATATTTATAATACATAATAAATACATTATAATAATAATTACGACTTTTATTATGATTTGATAGGCACAACCTTGGCTGAACAATGACCCGTCTCTTTCTGTCCGGTATCAATACTGAAACAGAATGACCCATGCCAAGCTCTTCCAAGCCCCCCTCCCCAAGAATCCAAGGGGTCAACAACGGGGAGGAAATGGGAGTCAAAATCAGAGGGAGGGGGGTGCATCCGAGTCAAAGAATGCAAATTCCACACTGATGGAGAGAGTAAGGAACCCTGGGGTGCCGATATGGAATGGGAGAGTGGGGCAGAAGGGGGTCAATGGGAGGGGGGGTGAGGACCCCCACCCCCCAAAAAGAGAGCTTTGTACTCACGCCGAATCCAAAGCCTTCGTCCTCCTGGGCAGACCCCTTCCTGGGGGGCAACGGCGGCAGACCCCCTTGGGGCTCCATCACTCCCCCTCCCCTTCCTCCGGGGTCCCAGGGGGGGCTCCGAGGGACTGCCAGCGTGGCCCCCTCCCTTCCCGCTCCCCTCCGGTGCCCTCCTCCTCCTCCGGCTGCCTCCAGGATGTGGATGCGTGTGCAAGTGTGTACACTTTGGGCGGGGAGCCAGGCCGGCCTCAATGGCAGGAGCAGCAGCCCTGCCCCTTTTTCAGGTTGGGAGGGGGGATCGTAGGAGGGGGGAGGAGGGGGAGGCTGAGCCCTGGACCACTGGCTGGGGTCGCCATGGCAACGGGAGGACTCCAGGGGGGATGCAAGGATGCAAGGAAGCCAAGCCTCCCTTGGAAGCCAACCGGGAGGGAAGTTCCAGGATTCGGTGCAAGACATTCCCCACATTTTTGACAATAGGGTTTTCCCTTGGACGGGTTTGTGTACGTTTTGGTCACGGCGGCTGAGAGAGTGTGACTCCCCTGCGCCTCCGGGCTCCACAGTCACATGCCAAAAGCCATCCCAGGACCTGTAGCTTTCCAAAGGGTGCATCCGAGCCATAGGATGCAAATTCCACACCAATGGAGAGAGTAAGGAACCCTGGGGTGCCTATGTGGACTCTCCTCCTCGACATGTGCGCCCCAGGAAAGAGTGAAGGGAAAGGCAGTGGGCGGGGCCATGCAAATTCCACAGCAATGGAGACATTAAGGAACCCTGGGGTGACTATATGAAATCTCCTTCTCTACATAGGGCCACAGCCACAGGATGCTGGGAGCTGTAGTTTTCCAAAGGGTGCATCGGCATCATACACTTGAGCCCACTCTAACAGCCACAAGATGCTGGGAGCTGTAGTTTTCCAAAGGGTGCATCTGCATCATCGACTGAAGCCCATTCTAACACAGGATACTGGGAGCTGTAGTTTTCCAAAGGTTGCAGCTACATAATAGAATGGAGCCCAATCTAACAGCCACAGGATGCTGGGAGCTGTAGTTTTCCAAAGGGTGCATCTACATCTTAGACTGGAGCCCATTCTAACAGCCACAGGATACTGGGAGCCATAGTTTTCTAAAGGTGCATCTGCATCATAGAAGCCCATTCTAACAGTCAAAGGATACTGGGAGCCGTAGTTTTCCAAAGGGTGCATCTGCATCATAGACTGAAGCCAATTCTAACAGTCAAAGGATACTGGGAGCTGTAGTTTTCCAAAGGGTGCATCTGCATCATAGACTGGAGCCCATTCTAACAGTCACAGTATACTGGGAGCTGTAGTTTTCCAAAAGGTGCATCCGCACTTTAGAATGGGGAAAACTTTAGCAACCACAGGATACTGGGAGCTGTAGTTTTCCAAAGGGTTCATCTGCATCATAGACTGGAGTCCACTCTAACTGCCCAGGGTCCTGGGAGCTGTAGTATTTCAAAGGGTGCATCCTCATCGTAGACTGGAGCCTGCTCTAACAGCCACAGGATGTTGGGAGCTGTAGCTTTCCAAAGGGTGCAACCGCACTGTAGAATGGAGACAATCTTAACAGCCACAGGATGCTGGGAGCTGTCGTTTTCCAAAGGGTGCATCTGCATCATAGACTGGAGCCTACTCTAACAGCCACAGGATTTTGGGAGCTGTAGTTTTCCAAAGGGCGTATCCGCACTGTAGAATGGAGACAATCTTAACAGCCACAGGATGCTGGGAGTTGTAGTTTTCCAAAGGGTGCATCTGCATCATAGACTGGAGCCCACTCTAACAGCCACAGGATTTTGGGAGCTGTAGTTTTCCAAAGGGTGCATCCGCATCATACACTTGAGCCCACTCTAACAGCCACAAGATGCTGGGAGCCGTAGTTTTCCAAAGGGTGCAGCCGTATAATAGACTGGAGCCTACTCTAACAGCCACAGGATTTTGGGAGCTGTAGTTTTCCAAAGGGCACATCCGCACCGTAGAATGGAGACAACTTTAACAGCCACAGGATGCTGGGAGATGTAGTTTTCCAAAGGGTGCATCTACATCTTAGACTGGAGCCCATTCTAACAGCCACAGGATTTTGGGAGCTGTAGTTTTCTTGCATCGTAGACTGGAGCCCACTCTAACAGCCCAGAGTCCTGGGAGCTGTAGCTTTCCAAAGGGTGCATCCGCATCGTAGACTGGAGCCCACTCTAACAGCCACAGGATGCTGGGAGCTGTAGTTTTCCAAAGGGTGCATCTGCACCGTAGAATGGTGCCTGCTCTAACAGCCCAGGGTCCTGGGAGCTGTAGTTTTCCAAAGGGTGCATCCGCATCGTAGACTGGAGCCCACTCTAGCAGTCACAGGATGCTGGGAGCTGTAGTATTCCAAAGGGTGCATCTGCATTGTAGACTGGAGCCCGCTCTAACAGCCACAGGATGCTGGGAGCTGTAGTTTTCCAAAGAGTGCATCTGCACTGTAGAATGGAGCACAGCCTAACAGCCACAGGATGCTGGGAGCCGTAGTTTTCCAAAGGGTTCATCTGCACCGTAGAATGGAGCCTGCTCTAACAGCAACAGGATCCTGGGAGCTGTAGTTTGGGGAGGCCCCTGGCACTCTCAGGTGGAGAAGGGAAAAGGCCCTGAGATACTACAACTGCCAAGTCAGGCGCTCCTTCTCTCTCTTAGCGAAATGGCAAGCTCTCTTCCACAACCAGAAACTTTGCAACCGGCGTTTCCTTCATCTCCAGCGTTCGTTGACATTGGCACCGGGTCAACGGCTGGCGAAGGAGAGGGAGGCCCCCGAGGCCCAAACAAGGGGCCCTTTCACTCTCTCGGTCTCAGAGGAACGTCATGGAGAAGCAAGCTGGCGCATAGGTGCTTTGAGTTCTGGAAGACACACTCCCAGGGAGTCACACTCTCTCAGCCGAAGAACAAACAAGGCTCAGAAAAGCCTCTCCTTCGATCTGAAAGACGCATTGCTACGCGTTCCGCCAACGTGCTCTTGCTTGCCGCGAGCGAGGAGCAAAAGAGTGAAATCCCTGCCGGATTTGCACGACTCCCACCGTGTACAAAGGCCTCCCTTTTTGCATTTCCCCCGCCTGCGAAACAGAGATGAATGGTTCCTTGCTGGGCGTTCTGCCGTCCGCTGAGAAGGCATCGAATGCAGAAATAACAGCCGTAAAACAACCGAGGAGGGATCCGAGAAACACGCCGTCGGAGGGGAAAACAAGGGAACTGAAGGGATTGAAAGCATGAAAACATTCCCCCCGCTTCGTTTTTGCACATGTCAATTAGTTTGATATCCCCAAAGTGGGTGGGAGCTTTGTGTTGCCACAGAGACCGCCCCCCAGAGCAGCATCATACTACAAAACCCAAAATCCACAAAGGACAACTGCTTGTGCAATTGAGACCCATTGGCTTTGCAAAAGCCCCGTTCTGGGTGTTGTTGGGATAGGAAAAAGTATGTATAGGGAGCCCTCTTACCTTGGGGTGGAGGGGAGTGGCTTTTGGGGTCGGCAGGGAGACGCGGAGCCCTTCTAAGGGTCCGCCGAGGGAGGACTGGAGGGTCCCATCGCTCTTTCTGCAGGAAGAAAAGAGAGAAAAAGCTGCTTTATAATGCGCCCCAGTCTTGGGGACAACGCAGGATGTAAACAAAGGCTCTCGTGGTGATGCTCGGCCCTTCTTGTGCCTGAAAATGCTTCAAAAACGGCAAGATTTGAGTCAGACTAGATGACCCCTAAGATACCCTTATTTAATACTAGCTGTACCTGGCCACGTGTTGCTGTGGCCCTCAGAAAACGCCTTCCACCAAAGGTTTCCTGCTGCCTTTAAGATGCGAGGCTATTCAAAGGTAATCCAGGTGGGCAATTACAGTTGGCTCAAGTAGAAATGGAGGGGGGCGGGGCGAGCGTAGTCGTTTTCGTGCATGTGCTGTAATGTCGTTTTGGTTTTTTGGGTTTTTAAGTCCTTTCTGCCTTTTGTTTTTCAGTGTTTTTCTGAGTGATGGTCACTCGTTGGCCTGAGAGGTGTCTTGAGTCCAAATTTGGTGTCAATTCGTCCAGTGGTTTTTGAGTTCTGTCAATCCCACAAACGAACATTACATTTATATTTATATACTAGCCATCCCCTGCCATGCGTTGCTGTGGCCCAGTCTGTGTATATGTGTTTTGTGTGTATATATTATGTTTATGTGTGTGTGTATATTTGTGTGTTTGCATATATATATATATATATATATATATATATATGGGTGTATATATGTGTGTGTATATATATTTGCATATTAATGTGTTTATATGTGTATATGCATATTGTGTATATGTGTGTACTCGTTTATATGCATATTTGTGGGTATATATGTGTGTATGTGTATATGTATATTTGTGTGTGCATGTGTATATGTATATATGTATTTATATTATGTGTATGAACATGTGTATATTTGTGTATGCTTGTGTGTATATATATATATATATATACGTGTATATGATTGTCTATGTGTATATATGTAAATGCGTGTATATGTATATGTGTATATATGTATAGTTGTGTGTGATGTGTATATGTATATATGTTTGTATATGTATGTGTGTGTACATGTGTATATTTGTGTGTGCT